GTAAAATGTTGAGATCTTATCTAAAAGTTATGCATAAAAATCATATAAGATGACAGAAAAAGCAAAACTCAAAATATGAGTCTAATTATTAAGACTTTGGCCTAAAAATGAGATTTTAAACAGATTTCGAGTGAAATGTACAGAATTTCTATTTAAGATAAATGATTGAAAACCATTAGTCAAATATTTGGCGCTAATCTCTGTCTCATTCAATCACTTGTATATTACTCTCAAATATCTTTATCTTAATTTTTAATGGATTTATAATCACTTTGAATACTATTTTCATTAACTACCATTCATATAATGTTAAATTCATCATGTCATTTTTTGGAAACAAAATATTAAACAATATTTGGCAATTAATAATATCGAAAACTTTTAATAGTAAGCTATTTTACCATCTTTAATATATAAATAATGTGAAAAATAGAAAATTAATGTTCAATTCTTTATTTAAGTAAATTTCAATTAGTATTTAAATTCACACAAATATATTAATTATCATTATAAATATATTAATTACAAATCAAATATAAATCAAGACACAATAATATTGTAATTTAAGTTTTTTAACATAGTAATTTATGTTACTTATATTAAATAAGAATTTACAAAAAGAATTAACTTAATATTAATATTTGAATAATTAAATTATTCAAAAATAACATAAAATGAATAAAACAAATAAATTAAAAGACATTTTCAAAACAATAAAATATAATGAAAATATTGGCTATGATATTGCATTTATTGATATAGTATTTTTCAATTGACTCGTTTCTCAATAAATTGGTAAAACATGGACTGGATTTAGTAGAATTGCTTATATGGTTATGGCTTAGATGGTTGTCCCGCATATTGAGTGTTAGTATGGTATGGATGAGCGTCAGGTGCGGGTGCTCTCGGGTCGGCTGAGAAAGGATGCGCTTGAGATACATGGAGCTGAGGTTGTAGTACCTGTTAAGGTGTATGTGCTGTGGTATGAAATTGTTGATTAGGTTGGCCTACATTACCATAGCTATGACCAGATTGCTGAGCTCCCTGTGCCGCTGCCATACTAGTGCTGGGATTCTGTGGGTATGAGTAGACGGGTTGTTGAGACGGGAAGGCGCTACCCATTTGTCCGGCACTGGCATAGTTAGGATTGGGAGCGGTTGCTGTCGGCGGTGCCATCGCTCGGGTATTGTGTGTCAGCACTGATTGACTCGCATTAGGGTTATAGAGAAGAGGCTGTTGGGGCGGATCCACGCGTTCAAAGACGGGTGCGTTGGGATCGTTGGGGTCGGTGTGCGAGGGGTCGACCCGTCGGAAGTGGAACCCCCTCTTAGCGGCCCTTTGGAGCAGATAATTGATATCGCTCTGCAAGTCATGCATCCGTTGGTTGAGGTCTCTGTTGACGAACACCTGCTCATCGATGGCCTCCTGTTCTTCCCTCCGCCTGTCAGCCGCCCTCTTAGGCCCGCGAGCACCGGGACCTCTCTTACAGGGCCGGCCCCTATTGCTCGCGGGTGCGGCCGTCAACAGCCCCGACACCTGTTGCGGTTCAGATATGGAGCGCTCCCTCAGTGGCGGCTGGTATTGTGATTGGAAGCGACGGTAAGCACCGGCACCTGACTGTGCGGTCGTGTCGTATACTTGAGACACACTACTGGAGTGCGGCCTCTGGGAGGGGAAGGCCTGTCCGAAGGGCAGTAATGACTGTCCCGTAGAGTCGGTTGAAGCGAAGGGATAGGTCTGCGAGCGCTCGTATGGTCTCTGTTGTTGTCGCACACGTCTGGCCGGGGATTCCGGTTCAGAGAAGACACCCAAACTTGGGTTGGATTCGGACGACGAGTTCCCGCGATTCCTGGGATGTGATGGCGACCCCACTGCAGACATGTCTGAGTCGGGACTGAATGGCTGTCCCGGACTGTTGAGAACCATTTCCCCGAACTCTGTGCGCAATAAACACGTGTCCGAAGGGGTGGGACTCATAACCGGCAGCATTGCCATTGAGTCCGTATTGGGTGTGGGGTTCACATAAGGTGTGTGCGCCGTATGTGTGGGCACTTGACTATCCGGTCCATTGAATAGCCGCATGTCTAGTATTTGAATGAAAATACAAAATATTAGTATATTTGAGATTATGTTAAAATAAATTGCAATTAAAACATTGAATGGTGTGAATGAATGAATGATTATCATACATAGTACTAATATAAATGGTAGTAAATTAGCATCCATTTTGTTATATCGGTTGAGATTTATATAGCTTATAAAATGTACGTTTGAATCGACAAACTTATATATAAGTTATATAAATGTAGATTCAAAGTGATACTCGCATAACACAATGTCTTATCAATGTCTAACATTCCTATAATTGATATAAAATGGCTCATTGGTTTGATTATCACATTATGAACACAAATAAAATTTCTTTTAAAATAAACCAAAAAATGAATCATTTAATCATTGATTCACTTATTACTCCTCAAACATACAATTCTTTTAAATAAACACTATTTCCGTGCATTTATTCTTGAAATATAATAATAATAAAATTAATATAGAAAATTAAAAATAAGAAATATATTTAAAAGTAATATTTCGCACAACATTATGACTAATAAATAATAATAACCAGTTAATTAAATATTTACACATTACTAAATGTAAATCAATTTTTGCAACATTACTAACGACTAATTTATATATTGGTATATAATTAATATATTTTTCTTAAATTAATAAATATATACCTAAACAAAATGAAAAATTAAAAATAAGTCTAAATTAATTGAGTAACCAATGTGATTACAAAATGAGCATATTTAAACATTTAAATATTTATAAATTCCGTTGTGGACTAAGTGCTTACATTAAAATTTTATTTTCCTCTTAATATACTGTTTTTTACATTAAAGTATAATTTATAAACTAACAATAATGTATAATTTGTTAATCTAAAAGTGATCTTTAATAAACATTACATTAACTAAATAGAGAAACACTGTGTTATTCAAGTTATTTAACAAAATATAAGATATTGTAATAATAGGTAAAAACATGTAACAATTCGTAGAAAAAATTAATCTACTAATATTTGTTTATCTATTTAAGACAATGTATACTTATTTACTATGCTCTATAACAAATAGCAATTATTGCTTAATTTTTTGAACAATTCATGCAATAAGATGAAATATTGTACAAAGGATAATGATTATAATAATATAAACAAATAGAAAACGGTTAATCTTTTATAATAGTTGATTACATTAACCCCTTTATTGAGAATTCATATTTAAAGTATAATTGACACAAATTAAGAAACTTTTGACAATTGTTACTAAAAGCGGTAAACTTGAAAACTTTATATATAAGTTTCAAAATGAACATAAGTTTATTTTATTAATTAACTTATTTAATGAATAGCATAACCAAAAGTGAGGCCTACCTTTTTCGTCGAGCAGTTGGTTGACATCCATGTGTGGGTCCATTGAAGTGCTGGGATGTGGAGCATTGGGATCAGTAGTACTGGGATTGAAATGATGAGCACTTCTGAGCTGTCGTTCCAATTGCTGAATACGAATGACTTCTTCGGGAGTCTTAGCACTACTGAACTGTTGAGCACCTGAGCTCTCATTGTGTACCAACACCTCCACAATGGTATCGATGTCACACTCATCGCTACTATCAGTTGACATCTTAAACGTGAAGTACTTGTGCTCGAAGTCAGTGACAGTTAGCGGTTGTTTGCTGAACAGGAGGTCCGGGGTATGGATGTCGTGGCAAATGTCTCCTAATTTGTTGTTCACTTGGATTTGAAGCGAATGAAACATTTTGTGGTGAGAGACCTCTTAATTCATAACATCATCCCAAATGATTCAATGAGTTTTAATTCTATAGATATATATTGTAGTGCCGATAGGGTTATAGCGCCGGCAATAATCATTTGTGAGACACCCTCTCTGTATATGAATGGAGGGTAGGTATGGGCGGTCTTATATCGATGGCGCCCTTTGATTTGAATAATATTTTATTAATTTGGTTGATAAGTCAAATCCCTTATCAATGAATGAGTTGTAGAAATGACTCTAAAAGGAAGTATGAATGGTTTGATTTGAATCATAGTAATTGGAGTTTATTTTATAAAGTGTGAAAAAGTTTTTATCAAAAAAGTCTTTATTACTATTGCCGTTCAAAAGTGTAATACTTTATATAATGTTATTTATCATTCTTTCCGGAGATTAGATGTTTGTTCAATACATTTAAAACTCTTATATAAAGCACAATTAATATGTAAATGTCTGATGTGATGGGCACAGAGTGTTAAACCATTTTTGACAACCGTTTGAAAAGCGAAAGGATTACTAATGAAGAGCACACAGTGTTTGACTCAAAAACATTTTGTGAGTGTCTTTGCTTTGAATTCAATTTCGCAAAAACTTTTATATTTTGCATTATGTCATTGTAATAGCTATGCCAACTCTCATTGGTCTACACCAGCCTTTGAATACTACTTATGCTAAATATAATTCTTATGCTAACTGCATGTATACTAATATTACAGAATATTAGTGAAATACAGTGTAGTGTATACGGTATATTATATGCAAAAACAAAAAACTACAGTCAAAACACTGAATGATTGTGAATAATAATGAGAAATTGCGACAAGCGTATGACCACTGAGACTATGAATGTGACAGTGAAATTTCTTATTATGAACCATAAATCAAATTAATTCCTATTAATTGTAATTAAAATAATACCTGTGCCGTAGAGGTATATTGGTTATACATATACTACATAATAATTATGTGTACA